CTGGAAGTTCACAAATCTTTTTTTTTTTTCCTTTGATGGTTAACTCTCCTTGCCCCTCATGCCTTAATCACACTAGGGATTTGCTCTCCCACTGAACTACTCCCAGCCCAGTCTTCCTTTTTCTAAATGCCATGGGCACACTGTTAGCCTGAGTACTCCTGTTTTGGACTAATAACTTCCTACCATGGAGGAGAAACATTTCATTCAGATCCGGCACGGCCCCGTCTCAACACTACCACACACATATGGAAATTCCCGTTGTTCTCATCCCAGTATGACGCTGGACCACTCCCAACCCATTCTGGCTGGGGCCAAGACTTCATGTTTTCATTATAACCCTGGTAATAATAGCTGCAGATGAGACCCGTGGCACACCGTGATCTTCTGCCCTTTCTTGAACAACATTTTGTTTTCTCTGAGGTTAATAACTGCCGTGTTCTTCTCCCCTTTATGTCTTCTAAAGTATAATTAATTTAACCACAAACTCTCCATGGCTGTCTAAATCCTGTCCCCTGCTGTCTCAGGCTTAGCATTAATCTATCATTTTTGTCTTCTTAGAGAAATCTTTCCTGTGTTCTTCCACTTGCTCTGACCTGGCTTGGCTGCCATCTGGGCCTCCTGGATGGCTCTCTTCCCAGGATATGTCTTCAGTATGATCCTAGCGTGCCATGTCTTGGGTTGAATTTTATTTCTTCCATCTTCTTCTGTCGCCTCCTTGTCTTGCTGATATATGTTCTACACTAACTTCCTGAGATACTAGGGCCAGGACGTAAGTTCAGACAATTCATGTGTGAAAACCGAAAGCATCTTCAAATTCTGACTTCATATTTATGGTCATTTTAAAATTTTGTCTTCACTTGTGTGTATGTATGTGTGCATGCATGAGCTTATGTGTGCAGGGGCTCACAGAGAACAGAGGATGTTGGGTACCTTAGAGGTGAATTATGGGCATCTGTAAGGGTCTGTTGTGGGTGCTAGGAATCAAACTTGGGTCTTCTGCAAGAGCAATAAGAGATGGCTTAACCACTGAGACATCTCTCCAGTCCCCCAGCTTTATATTGAGTTGATAGAATTTTGAGCCATAGATAACTTTCAGCCTCCAGAAAGCAGGGGTTCTCCCTCCCAGTTTCCAAGTATCCTATCTTCTGGTTCTTTATATGTCCCCACTCTCTATTCTGAAAGTTTTTACAACCTTCTCTTTATCTCTAGTGTCTGTACGTGTCACGCATATGTGGGATTGTGTGTGTGGTTCCCATTTTTTCTTTTAAAATCATAGATAGTTATTTTAACTCATTTCTGATTTAGTCTACAGCATAGGTCCATGTACACAGATGGTTCTGTCCATTATGACCCAATGCATCATCTTCCTTCTTCTCATTGCTGCAGAATGTTACATTTTATCTTCCCACTTGGTATTGGATAACCAATGGCTGTGTTCTTCCTGAGGAAGACTGTTTATCCTGCTCTCAGCATGCCTTAGTTGCCTGTAGCTATTTGTGTAGGGTTGAGGTATTTGTGTTCTTCTCCTGTGTACTTTGGAAATGCATGTATATTGTTGGTCTTGTTTAACTTGTATGTAGGCAGTCATGTTGGTGAGACTATAATGGGTGTAGAATGTGGCTTTTTTCTTTTCCTTTCTTCCTTCCTTTCTTTCTTTCTTTCTTTCTTTCTTTCTTTCTTTCTTTCTTTCTTTCTTTCTTTCTTTCTTTTTTCGAGGCAGGATTTCTCTACGTAACATCCCTAGTTGTCCTGGAATTCGTTCTTTAGACCAAGCTGGTCTTGAACTCACAGAGATCCATCTGCCTCTGCCTCCTGAGTGCTGGGCCAGGCCTTTCCTCCTTCCTCTTTCCTCCTTCCTTCCTTCCTTCTTTCCTCCTTCCTTCCTTCCTCCTTCCTTCCTTCTTTCCTTCCTTCCTTCCTTCTTTCTTTGCTATTGTTCTGGTCATTATGTGGGCCCTTTCCATTGATAGTAGAAAACTTTATGTTCTGAGAAAATTCCTGGTATTATTTCTTTGATTTCTCTTATTTGCCTGTTTCTTTTTCTGTTAACTTTAAAACTTTTTCCTGATAATTCTTTCTTGTTAAGTGTTAAAATGCTCCTGAATTATATATATAATTTTCTCATCATCACAATCTTAGACTCAATCTCTTTGTCATTTTACTTTGCTTTCTGGGGCAGTTCTTCATCGGATTTTCCAAATCTTGAACTGAGAGTTTCATGTCTGCTAATGTTTTCTCATCTTGTGAGTGAATCTTCTTAGCTTTCTGAGATGCTAACTGTAGTTTTGTGATGACTTTCTCATCTCTCCATCTGTCTTTCTCTCTTTCTGCTTTTTTGTGATCTGTCTCATATACTTGGGGGTCTTCATCATGTGTCTGCTTGGTACTTTTACCGAAGACAGCCTTGCAGCCTAAAGGCTCCGCATGTGTGGGTGGGGCTCTGCATGTGTGGGCGGGGCTTGTTATGGTCTTTATTTGCTCTTGAGGAACACTTATAGTCTGAATCTTTCCTCTTGGATAGCTTAGCCTCCTACAGAAGATAATCCTTTAATGCTTGGTGGGTAAGAGGCTGAGCTAAAATTCCCTTCAGTCTCCTGAAAACATTCTTGTAGCCCTCACAGTTCCTTCCGGGCCATACAGTATCCCTCCTGCCCAGTGAACATGGCTTCTGTTTCAAGCTCCTGTCTTGAGTTTCTGCCTGGACTTAACCTGTAAGCTGAAATAAGCCCTTCCTTCTGGGGATCAGAACCTTGTTTTAAAAGTTACTTGATTTTTAATTATGAACATGTGTCTGTATATTGGTGTGTGCATGTGAGTGCAGGTCCTCAGGGAGGCCCTGGATCCCCTGGAGCTGGAGCTGCCAGTGGTGGGGGACATCCCACATGGATGCAGGGAATCCAGGTTCCCCGAGAGAGCAGCAGCACTCTTAGTCATCACCCCTCCCTCCAGCCCCTACTAAATGCAACCTTGCACACTGAGCTTATTTTCAGCTTACTTCACTCATACTACTGATTCCTGTCTTCTGACTTTGGGCGAGCGTGTAAGATTCTTTATTGCTTCCCAACTGATGGTTTACGGACTAGTTTTCTCAGATGGGCTAATTCGTTCCCCATTTACCCACCAATTTCCCAAGATTCTAACATCGTGCTGATCTCAGTTTTTCAATCTTAGCTTTTCCAATCCCATCTTCGGAAATCTGCGCCTTAGAACAAAACAAAGCAAAACAAAACACCATGTGTTGCTTTATTAGGACTTTAAAAGTTAGCAAAAATGAACACAAGGCTCAGTTTGCCCTCTTAGCAGTCCCTTCACTAGGCTTCCTGTTAACTCTGTGGAGCCGCTGGTCTTTGTTGCCACTTTGATGAGGGTTGGAAGAGGGAACCTCAGGTGAGGATCTGCTCCCCCAGACTGACCTGTGGGCGTGTCTGTGGTGCGTTTTCTGGATTGCTGATCAATATAGGAGGGCCCAGCTCACCGTGGGCACTCCATCCCTAGCAGGTGGGCCTGGACTGTATGAGAAAGGGAGCTGACTGTGAGCCCCTCCCCGGCTTCTGCTTTAAGCTCCTGTCTGGAGTTCCTGCCTGAACTGTAACCTGAAGCTGAGATAAACCCTTTCCTTCCTGAGTTGCTTGTGGTCATGCTGTTTATCACAACAGCAGAAAACAAACAAGGACCCCTCTGCTTTTCCGGAACTATTCCTCGTTCCTTCTTCCTTGAAGGTCGTGATTACATTCTCTTTGCCTTGAACTCTCCTTATAGGATCTTTCAACACTAACAAGATGAAATTCAGAAGAGGCAAAGTGCAAAGCTCTATATTCAGGAAGAAACCAGGGATTAAATGACATAGAATTTAGGAAGTGTTACTTAATCCCCATTTAGGGGAAAGAGCATAAGATCAAAATAATTCAATGATATGATATGACTGCCCCTCAAATGGTACGATTGCTCCTACATTAATAGGAGCAAAATGCTCAGAACAGGGGAGAGGAAGTGTGTTTGGAAAGGGTTCCCCCTATCCTTGGTGCTTGTCAGTGAATTCTGTGGTCTCCTCTATGGCACCCCTTGAGAAGGATAATAACAGCTTATGACAGAAATGGAGAGGAGGTGGAAACTTCGGATGGGGAATGTGGAAAAAAAGTGATGATACAAGTTGGAACCTGGAACACAGGAGGGGAATGCAAAATGTCATCTGGGTGGAAGGAGTGAGTTTGGGTGATGTCTTATGAAAGGCTAGAATTCAGATAGTGCAGAAAGGAGAGCGTCTGCTTAAAACACAAAGACCTTTCCCCTACTAAGAACTATCTGGAAAGGGTGGGGGTTGGTAACCAGGAAGCTCTCTCTGTCCCTGGAAGGTTAGTGGTTGAATTGAGTAACTTCTGAGGTGTTTTTTGGCCCAGAGTATGATCTAGAAACACCTCCCCCTTGTTTTAGAAAGAAATTGGAAGCCATCTGATCAGTGCCTGGGCAAGTTCTCCTACCAAGCCTTCTGCTCCCAATGGAACATTCCTTCTAGCCTTTTATTGTCCAAATTACCTTTGTTTTTTCAGACAGACTAAGACATTTGAACACCTAGAACAAGAGTGCAACCACAGAGACACAAGTGATTGTTTGTTCCCCTGGGCATCTGTTTGCAAATGACAGTTTCATAGAATTTACGCATTTCTTGTAGCTTCCTAGCACTCGGGTCCTAAAGGAACACTGAGCTTATTGTCCTTGGGGCACACGTGGCATTGTTGGCACAGCAAGAGGTAACAATATAATCCTGCCTTGGGAGCAAACACGCATTTTTAAGGGATATGCTCTGTATGTTCTGAGATTGTAAAGTCTGTCACCTTTTAGAGTCTGAATACCCATGATTTATGAAGCTTGTTTATGTAATAAGGAAATGAATGGCCTTGCAGTCAGCCTTAAGTCCACATGTGAACAGTTGCATGCTCACTGAACCTTGGGTTGTCCCTCCTCATTAATCATGAACTCTGGGCTTGGCTATTTCAGACTAACAATGCTTCCATTGTCCTCACATTGGCAGGATTGGCCTGGCCCAGGAGCCCAAGCATGAAGAGTATGAACTGGGCAGAAGGTAAGCTGTGTGCACGCAGAGCAAAGATGAAGGCATGTGCTGTGGCTAGAGGTCAGGCTGAGTTAGAGATTGTAGGGAGAAGTCATAAGGAGCAGACAAAAAGTTCTGATTCAAGAGGCCTGGGTCCAGCACTGGGACCAGGCAGACATCGAGCAGTGTGTGGACACCAGCACGGAAGTCATTTTCTGTGGTTATCTGCTCAAAGAGGTCAGATTCTAGGTGGGGTCTGCTGACTCAATCAGAAAATAGGTCTGAGAGAATGCTGTGCTTCCTCTTAATTAAGGAGAAAAATGTTGTATGGTGACCTCATAATTCACACTTCTCCTGCCCCAAGCAGCAGCTAACTGTTCCCCTACACTCCTACTGGGGAAGGTAGTGGTGGGCACAGGTTGGGTGCAGCTATGACGGTAGACTCTCACGCTTCAGTTTGTGTATGTCCTGTTGGGCCATCAGAAATAAACTATACCCCTTAAGGTCCGGGTCTGACTCCTTCAGCTCCTGTGTGCAGGTAGAAGCAAAGCGCCAACGTCTTTTGGCTGATCACGGGTCAGGAGGTTCTAGCTTTTCTCTGCATGACTAAGTACCCATTTCTTCCTAGGCAGGATGGATGGCCACAGATGAAACGCTCTGAAAGCCATGGCCAGGCCACTGAATCATCTGGCTTGAAGTGACAGGCTGCTATTAGAGTAAATCACAGTGATGAAAGGAGGCCAGAGAGGAAGTGCTGGTCACCTTCTCTCTACAGCCTTTCATTTTCTCCCCTTAGACTCGACTTATTTTTAGGCGGGATAATTATTCCTCTTGACCCACTAGATAGCTTCTTTTCTTACAATTGTCTCTGGCAGGACTTGGGTAGAATGACCCTGTCCCCAGAGCTTTTATGGATGTCTCCGGAATGAGAAAGAAGGAAATACATAAGGCACTTTTTCAAAAGCGTGGTTGTAAAAACTTTTACAGGGCATTTAATTAACTTCTCTGAGTCACAGCCTCTCCTGGAGTCTGAACAATTTCAGAAATTGACTTTTTAAAAAAAATCTGTGTGTGTGTGTGTGTGTCTTTCTGTCTATCTGTCTGTCTTTCTCTTGCTCGTTTTCACTCTCGCTTGATCTCCCTACTGTTGGAGATTGAACCCAGGGCTCTGTGCATCCTAGGCAAATGTTCTTCTACTGAACTGTACCTCTAACTCCCAAATTGCTTTTCTCGAAGATTCCCATAGAAGAAATCCTAAACAACCCAGCCTCATAGACAAGTGCTTTCAGACCCAGGCTTCTGGTAAACCCATTCTACATCCTTCTAGGAAAGGTTAGAAAAACCACCAGTAATCCCAAGAGCCCTTGTAGTTTTGCATATTCCACAGGAAAACACACCAATCACACCTCCTATCGACCTCACCTTAATACCGGCGGTACACTATTTGAAATGGGTTATCACTGTGTCGTTCAGGCTGGTCTCAAATTCTGGCTCAAGCCATCCTTCTGACTCCATAGTTGTGCTAACAGGTGTGCAACTGCCTTCAAGCTGCTAACATAGTTTTAAAGCCAAAACTGGGAGATTTGGACAGCTGTGTTTGGCAATTACAGAGGAAATGGAATTTCAGAGAACTCTCATGCCATTAGGCCAATCTACTTTTCAGACAAAGTTGATGCTTCCTTTCTGGGTAAAGATTTATCTAGACTGTGGTTTCTGCAGGTGGGGAAGAGTTCCCCGACAGCCCACACTCTTTACTTTAATTCACATGCTTAGAATCCAAGGTGTGAAGCTGGTGGTTATCTGGGCTTGACACAGGCGATTGCAGAGAGTTTCTCATGAGATGGGGTTAAAACTTAACTTGAAAGACCTTAGGTTTAAAACAAACAAAGAAGAACCCCCCCCCCGAAAAATGATTGTGTTGCTCTTTGGTTCTTAATCAAGGTGACATTAACAGTGACGTCAAAAGGGGTCTATACGATGTGTAGCTGCGTGAATTATACCCAACATTTCCTCTAAGAACAAAGCCAATAAAAAGTTTTGTGTAAACTTGGGGTGCAATTGTCCGACTCGGGGTTTGACAGAGGTGGGTGTGGGAAGGAGAATGAATGGATGGGTAGATAGATGGATATATAGTAGGAAGGAGAATGAATGGATGGGTAGATGGATGGATATATAGTAGGAAGGAGAATGAATGGATGGGTAGATGGATGGATATATAGTAGGAAGGAGAACGAATGGATGGGTAGATGGATGGATATATAGTAGGTTTTCTACCCATCAGAGACATTTTCAAACCAGCATCTCTTGTGTATCCCAGACTGATATTAACCTATATCACTATGTCTCATGGGTGAGCAGGAATTGACCTCATGGAGTCAGAAAGTCCTGAACCTACCTACTCCCGTTTAGACCTGCTACTGATGCTCCTGATCTCATCAAAAGCCCTGTGAGGAGACGAATCCTCGAGTCCTGAAGAAAACCTGTCTTCTGGCATAGGAGAATGCAACTGATGAAATATGACGAGTTATCCTTTATCAACTGCCTGTTTGCGGGGGTGGGGGTTAGCAATTGCCTTAGGATGCAACTTCCTTGCATGCGTTCTTTTCCAGCATTTCAGTAGCGTGCTAGAGAGACGCCATGGCTTCCTGGGCATCATGTGTTTTTGACAGAATATACATATCTGTCTTTCAAGGGCAGATTTCTGAGGCCTTTACAACCTCTTTTCCTTCCTTCCTTTCTTTGTTTTGGTTTTGAAATAGGGTCTCACGCTGTAGCATGGGGCCTGGAACTCACTGTGTAATCCAGGGGGGACTCAAAACTTGCCACAGTGCTCCTGCCTCAGCCACCCAGGTATTGGGATTGCAGGTGTGAGCCACCACACCTGGAAGACTCATTTTTTTTCACGTCTTCATCAGTGGGCTTTTGTTTAACCATTCTCACTTAGCGCTTTATGAGTCAAGACTCACTAATCATTTTGTCTTGGTTTGTGTCTGCCCAGAACATTATTGGCCCTAAACCTCCTAGTATTTGTTATGGGCGTCATAAATGACTACTCAGAATATCAGCCAGACTTTGCAGGCGGTGGCTTCAGATGTGTCCAGCTCACTCTCATAAACACAGCGCAATGCCTTGCCCCTGCCAGACACTGTAGTGACTTGATTCAGCATTCGCTGTGAATTTGGAATAAAGATGTCAGCCTTCTCTATTTGTCACCCAAAGCTATGTCAAACCAGAGTTCACAGCTCATTTCCCCAAATGTTCCCTTAAACTTATCCATAGCAGAGAGTACCAAATAGCAATTAAAGTACCAAAGTCCTATGACTAGAATACTTGCAAAAATTGAACTACACCACAAAACAAACCTGACCTTTTCCTTCCTTCCTTCCTTCCTACCTTCCTTCCTTCCTTCCTTCCTTCCTTCCTCCCCCCCTCCCTCCCTCCCTTCCTTTCTTGTAAATGGAAATTTCTGTCCCACCTAGTCCTGAAGCCATTTATTTAGTCCTAGACGAACACACAGAGTCTTATATTAATTATAAACTGCTGGCTGACGGCTCAGGCTTCTTTTTTTTTAAAAATTTCTAACATTTTTATTGTTGAGTATTTTTTATATTTTTTATTTAAATTAGAAACAAGCTTGCTTCACATGTCAATTCCAGCTCCCTCTCCCTCCCCTGCCCCGCCCAATCCCCACTCCATTCCCCAGGGAGGCTGAGACTCTCCATGGGGGATGTCCAGAATCTGTCATTTCATTCAGGGCAGGGCCTAGGCCCTCCCCCAAGTGTCCAGGCTGAGAGAGCATCCCTCATTGTGGGATGGGCACGCAAAGTCCATTTGTGTGCCAGGTATAAATACTGGAGTACTACCCAAAGCTCCCTAGGTTGCATAGCCCTCCTCATTGACACCCACTTTCAGGGGTCTGGATCAGTCCCATTCTGGCCTCTCAGCCATCAGTCTGGGGTTCAAGATCTCCCCCTTGTTCATGTCAGCTGTTTCTGTGGTTTTCAACAGTCCTGTCTTGACCATTTTGCTCACCACTCCTCCCTGTCACTGGTTTCCAAGAATTCAGTTCAGTGTTTAGCCGTGGGTATCTGCCTCTGCTTCCATCAGTCACTGGATAGAGGTTCTAGGATGGCATATAAGGTAGTTGTCAAACTCGTAATCAGGGAAGGGCATTTAAGGTAGCCTCTCCACTATTGCTTAGTTTGCCAGTTGGTGTCATCCTTGTAGATCTCTAGAAATCTCACTTGTGCCAGATCTCTCCTCAAACCTAAAATGACTCTCTCTCTTATGGTATCTCTCTTCTTGCTCTCCTCTATTCTTCCCTGACTTAATCTTCCTGCTCCCTCATGGCCTCCTCTCCCCTCCTCTCTTTTTCCTGGCTCCCTCTCCCCTCCCTCCATGCTCCCAATCTGCTCAGGAGATCTTGCCTCATTCCACCTTCTCTGGGGTACCATGCATCTCTCTTAGGGTCCTTCCTGTTTCCCAGTCTCTCTGGCAGTGGGGTTGTACGCTGACACTCCCCTGATCCATGCCTAAAATCCATATATGAGTGAGCACACACCATGCTTGTCTTTTTGTGATGCTTTGTTTTTTCCATTTTATAATTTTAGCTTCTTTGTCAGAAACCAAGTGTTCATATGTGTGGGTTAATATCACAGTTTTTGATTAGATTCCATTGGTCTACCTGTCTATTTTTGTGCCAATACCAAGCTGTTTTCAGGACCATAGTTCTATAATAGAGCTTTAAGTCAGAGATGGTGATGCCTTGGGATGTTGCTTTGTTGAACAGGGTTGTTTTGGCTATCCTGGGTCTTTTGTTTTTCATACAAATTTGAGAATTGTTCTTTCAAGGTCTGTGAAAAATTGTGCTGGGATTTTAATGGGGATTTCATTGAATCTGTAAATTGCTTTTGGCAAGATTGCCATTTTTACTACGTTGATCCTACCTATCTAAGAGCATGGGATATCTTTCCATTTTCTGGTTTCTTCTTTAATTTCTTTCTTTAAAGACTCAAAGTTCTTGTGATACAGGTCTTTCACTTGTTTGGTTAGCGTTACCCCAAGGTTTGTGGCAATTGTAAAGGGTGATGTTTCTCTGATTTCTTTCTCAGCCCTCTTACTGTCTGTATATAGTAGGACTACTGATTTTCTTGAGTTGATCTTGTATCCTGCCACTTTGCTGAAAGCATTTATCAGCTGTAGGAGTTCCCTGGTAGAGTTTTTCGGGTCACTTATGTAAACTATCATATCATCTGCAAATAGTGAAAGTTTTATCTCTTCCTTTCCAATTTGTATTCCCTTGATTTCCTTCTGTTGTCTTATTGCTCTGGTTAGAACTTCAAGTACAATATTGAAGAAGTATGGAGAGAGTGGACAGCATTGTCTTGTTCCTGATTTTAGAGGAATTGCCTTGAGTTTCTCTCCATTTAGTTTGATGTTGGCTGTTGGTTTGCTGTATATAGCTTTTATTATGTTTAAGTATGTTCCTGTTATCCCTGATCTCTCCAAGACCTTTATCATGAAGGGGTGTTGGATTTTGTCAAAGGCTTTTTCAGCATCTAGTGAGATGATCATGTGGTTTTTGTTTCTCAGCTTGTTTATATGGTGGATTACATTGATGGATTTTTGTATGTGGCTCAGGCTTCTTATTGGGTAGCTCTTTCTTAATCATTAACCCATTTCTATTCATCTGTGTATTTCTACGTTGTCTTGGCTTACTGTGATACCTAGACCTCTTGCTCTCTCAGCAGCTACATGGCATCTCTCTGCCTCCACCTCTTACCTTTTTCTACTCCTGTTTGGATTTCCTGCCTGGCTAAATCCTGCCTGTCCATTGGCCAAAACAGCTTTTTTTTCAGCAACCAGTATGCAAAAGGTCATTCCCCCAACACTTCCTTCTTTCTCTATCCCTTGCCACCCTGATACTTGCTGTGAAGCCCCAGGTTGTTTCAAGCTAATGGCAATCCTCCTGAGTTCCGGGAATTACACGTATAAAACAAGACAAGCAGCAGCTTGGATCTATTGTATACAACAACAACAGCAGCAGCAGCAACAACAACATTGGGCCAGCAAGGTGGCTCAGTAGGTAAAATCCCCTGTCACATAAGCCTGGCAATCCAAGTTCGATCTCTCAGACCCACTGTGGAAGGCGTAGGCCAAATCCTGAAAGCTCTCTGCTGGCTTCTGCACACACAATAATAAGAGCAAAATAAAATAAAATGATATCAAAGATTTGGTTATATGTGGGTTAGACCTATGATGCTAGCACTCAGAAAACTGAGGCAGGAGGGTTACTGTGAGTTCTAGTCCAGTCCATGCTATACGGTGAGTTACAGGATAGTGTGGCAGGCTACAAAAGGTGACTCTTGTCTTTAAGAAAAGATTTAATTCCCTATTTCTCACAACCGAGAAACATTTGTGAGACTCATATAAAGCCACGTAACAATTCAGGAACAAGGAATGTAGCTCTCACAGCTTATAAATTAACTATGAATGTCAATGGATTTGTCTCCTGAATCAGATACCTGATCCACAAGATTAGATAGAAAAAGGAAGGCCTTAGATAACACACCGGTGCCCAGGAAAACCTCCTTCCCCTGACTATGTCCAACTTTGTCATGATCGAGTTACCCAGGGAGTTGGGACCCTGCATCCATGCTCTTTCTCTTCTTGCTTTCAACCCTGCCTTTGTGTCCCTAGTTGGGCAATGAGCTCTCCAGAGAATGACTCTTTTAAAAGATTAAAAGTCTTGCCTAGACTGTTTGACTGTTGCTGTATAAACTGGACATGCAGGACCCACAGGAAAGTGATTGCTGAACTCAGTCTTACAGGGTTCCTGCTTCATGAAAGAGTCTAAGAGACTTTCTACAGGACAAAGAAAAATGACTAACAGACTGCTAATGCAGATTGACAGTTTGAAATTTCCTGCTTTGCTGAGAAATCTTCTGGACACATTGTGGCCTATGGGCTGAAGATGGATGCCCCAACGTTACAGAGGAAATTTGGGTGACTGTCCAGGCAGTAAGATGTCTCTGTCAATCCTAGTGTTTATATATTATCCTTCTGTGGTCTTTGATGGAGTTGAAGATAGATAGTTATAATTATAGTTTTCCTTAGTTATGATAAAAGATAAGCTACATATAGAACTTTGGACTCACAAGGATGGGATGGATGATATTTTCTTTAAATCTTCCTAAAATATTGTAACTATGTTCTTATTTGATAACTGTTCTGTTATATACAATTTGACTATGTTAAAGTTAAGACCTTTCTTTTTGTTTAAACAGAAAAGAGGAGATGTTGGGGAAGTCCTGTGCATTTGTCAATAAAGCACTGTCTGGCCAATAGGGAATCTAGATAGGAGGGACTAGGAGTCCAGAAGGACTCTGGGTAGGAGAAACACAAGAGGGCAAGATGTAATTGCCATGGAGTAGGAAGCCCGGGACTATTCTCCGGTAAGAGAAATACTTAGATTAACAATTATGGGGCAATTACTTAAGTCAGAGCTAGCCAGTAAGAAACAAGCAAGGCCAACAGCTTCATAATTAATATAGCCTCCTGTGTGTTTATTTGGGACTGATGCGGCTCTAGAACCAGGCTGGCGGGAAGGCTCCTCTCAAGGAAAAAGCTTCCCTTTACACAGAGAATGACTCTTTTAAAAGATTTGGCTCACAATCTACAGACTTAACTGGCCTCATCCAGCCAGGCCTTGGTTGCCCGTGGATGCACTTAGACGGTTGTTCTGAACGTTCTGTTCTCTAACACATCTCTCATTTACTGAGGTCTCCTCTGGCTTTCCGTAGTCCCAGTTCCCACTTGATCTTACAAACAAATTTGCCATTTTCCATCTGTGTGCCGTGGTGTGTGCTCGTAAATCCTGCACTTCGGAGGTGTAGGCAGGAGGATCAAGAGTTCAAAGTCATCCTTTTCAGTGTGGTGAATTCAAGGGCAGCCTGTACCACATGAGATCTGCCTAAAACAAAGCAAGATCTCTTCTTTGTGTTTGGCCTTTTCTTCAAACCTGTTATGCAATAGATGTTTTGTAAATGTTCAAGTGGAAAGGGATGTCAGTTTTGATTGTTGACTTGCGCTGGAAGGGAGTCACGGTGAGGGAATGTCTAGATTAAGTTGGTCTTTGGGCATGCCTGTGAGGGATTTTTAAAACTGGGTTAACTGAAGTGGGAAGACATACCCTGGATGAGGGTGGCACGATTTCAGG